TTTCCTTCTATATTTATAGGTATGATTCAATCTTGTATTTACATATATAGTCAAGGAATTATGTGGTAATGAACATTTGCATAGATGTAGCATTATTTTGTGGTACGTCATTGTATATTTCATGTATAGTTTGATATCCTAAAAGAATTCATAATATAGAAAGAATGGATTTATTTGAGCAAAACAAGCGACCCCACACAAAAAGTTTTTAATTATAATAATACACATATTCTAATTACAGTCTAAGGGTATTTTTTTATGCAATTTAGAATGGAAAACAAGCTGACGGCCCACCTGATGGAAAGTGGTAACCGTCGCCTATAAACATAAGCAGTACCATGGACATAACAGAGTATACTGTTTCGCCTATGATACCCCTATGCGTTGCCATTCCCGAGGATTCAGGTGTTATTATTCTGTACCCTGTAAATTCACTGCCATATCCCACCCTTCAAACCGAAACAAAGCCATGCAAACTACTGCTTCACGTTAAAAACACCAATAGGACAAATGTGCCCAAGCAAACGACCTTTGTACAAAGTCTCCCTTTGGTAATTACTGGGTATGCTGGGGAATTACCGCAATAAGAGATAATAAAAAGAGAATTAATACGTCAACCTCAAACAATTTACGATAAGAGCAGTATGTTTACGATCTACGAAAAGAAATACTAAAATGAAAGCATTGATATTTCAAAATGCATTACTACGAAGCAGTATAGATATTTCAAAATGCACTGTCCATGGGGGCAAGCTGTGAAAAGTGCATCGAGGAAGTGTCGCGCAGGCGCTGGCCATGACAGCGACGAGGTCGGCGCGTGACCGTTTCATACAGTAAAGCACAAGCACATCCATTTATATTAACGACATGAACTTTCCGATTTAATATCGCAAAGGTGACAATTAAGTAAGGTCAGCCTGTTATTTGCAACTATTTTACCTAGAATCCAACAGAATAATAAATACTTAAATGTGTAAAAACTATATGCACTACAATCAACTAACCATTTTCCTATAGATGAACTAAGTTTTCATAATATTTGACACCTATAAATAAATATTTTTTTTAATAAAGGCAACCATAAACACAGACCAGGCCCACAAAACTTTAACAATATCAAACCAAATATACGAGGTCCCAAAGTTCGTATAAACTTTCCTTATGTCCCTAACAATATCAGTTCTGGTCTGACCGCCGTGCGGTGCGAACCAAATATAAGAGCAGCGCGTCGTAATCAAGTTTCTCTCGAAACTCGGCAAGAATGGCCGTGAAATTTTTGCCGATCTCAGAACAGTTTATGGGGATGATGCTGTGAAGGAACCAACCGTCCACAAGTGGCTAAAAAGATTCAGAGAGGGCCGAGAAAGAGTTCGATGTTCGGGGGATTGTCCATCAAGAATTTGATGGAAAATTCTACGTCGATGTGCTCATCGTGTGGCACGAGTTCGTCCAAATTAACACGATTGCCCACATCTCTCTTGTTGTCCGTGAAAAAAATTCCATTAACAACACCCCCCTATTCGATTTGGCCCCGTGTGACAAAAGACTTCGGGGGCGGCATATCAAATATAAACTACTAAATTATTAAATTAAATTATTACATTTTTAAATATTAACATTGATTGATAAAAGATATCAAATAGGATTAGATGATAGGTAATTTGTAAAAATTGGAATCTTTGGAATCAACATCCAGCAGCAATATTTCCGAACCGATACGACAACATAACCTTCAAGAAAAGAGCATATTCCTTTTTAAAAGGCCGGCAGCACACGTGCCATGCCGTAGGTGTTGTGGGTGACCATGGGCGGCGGTAGTCACTTACCATCAGGTAAGCCGCATACTCGTTTGCCCCCTGTGTTGTAAAAAAAAAATTATATCTAATGTAATCTTCAAGTAACTTATATATAGATTCAATTTAAAAAAGAAAATTATTAATTTAACTCTATTGCATATGAGTGAATAATATATCCACTTCACGGCGGATCGCTAATACAAATAAGTGGATAACAGTGACTAAGCGCTGACATAAGGCCAAATTGATTGCATACACGACTAAATACATAATATCTTCGCATTATTCCTATGCAAGGTAGAATGAAGATCAGTATTTTCAACGAGTTCTCAGCAACAGCTAACGTGGTTTCGTATAATTATGATTTTATTCCAAAAATGTCTTCATCAAATTCTATCTAGAGAAAGTATTGGATCACACAGAAGTTAACACTTTTATTAAAACAATTATTTTATTCACAAGTAGACTTATTTCATTGAATTAATAAAAAAAAATCACAGGATGGCAATGTAGTTCATCATTTTGCAAAAAAAAAAATAGTGTACTGTACAATACGAATTGCTGTAAAGTACGAATTGCTGAAAATTTTAATGCCTGACAAGCTGATTTTTATTTTGGAGTCAGTGGATGCAGGTAGCTCAAGACCGTTCTTTATGGCATTCCATGGGGGTGGCCTATATTTAGCAGTGTACAGATCATGGCTGATATGATGACGATGAAGCTGTTTTATAATTAAATAATTTAGGAATCTCTAAAATCTGTTCAAAATTGACGAAAATACACGTAATATAAACACAAAAATGTACAGGCGAATTGAGAATCTATTTGATTTTTTTTTTATACAACTTAGAATGGCACACAAGCTGACGGCCCACCTGATGGAAAGTGGTAACCGTCGCCTATAGACATGAACAGTAGCATAGACATAACAGACTATACTGTTGCACCCATGATACCCCCCATGCGTTGCCATTCCTGAGGACTCAGATGTTACTCCTCTGTACCCTGTAAATTCACGCCATATCCCACCCTTCAAGCCGAAACACAGCCATGCAAACACAACTGCTTCACTGTAGAAACACGAATGGGACAGAGGCACCCAAGCAATCGACTTTTGTACAAAATCTCCCTTTGGAACTGTTCAACTGTTTCAAAAATCAAATGTGATGATGATGAAATAATCGATACAAATTTTATAACAAATTCATTTATCATCGGTACTATCTTGGTAAATATTATATAAATATATATATATTTCTTATCACTGTTAATACCGTATGATGCAACTGTAATATAATATGAATAGATCGATGATACCGATAACACTGCATTATCAATCACTTCAATCATTGACACAGTTGTAATTTTTATTTATGTATATATAACATTATGACTACTTAACCTATTTACCAATCAAGTTTGCTCCATAGTTTTATGTACCTAATTATAATTGTATATTTAAGTCATTATAATAGTTAATTTGTTTTTCTTTTGTTCATTAAATATAATTCTTCATTATCCTCTGCTCAATATAGGCTTCACAAATGGACCGGAATAAGAAACTGTCCTAAGTCACCTGATTTCATTATTTTATCATTATTTATCTTGATTTTATCATTAACATTTAGTGTTTTTCAATCTTTTTCATGACGCGACCCCCTTATTATGTAAACATTGCGACCTCCTACCCTCCACGGTTTCGAATGTGTATAAATTTTATTATAGTACAATTATGAAATCCGTACAGTTGTATTTATATTCACAGTTAGGTATCGATAAAATATAATAAATAATACATAATAAAGTGTCTAAAACAGCCATGTAATCGATGTCTGTTATAGATACTTCATTATGTATCATTGATTGATTGATGTATTTACGGAACTGTTGATTTTTCACTGCTTCGCGACCTTGCGCGATCCCCTGTAGAGGCTCGGGGACCCCCCAAAGGGTCGCGACCCACACTTTGAAAAACATTGGCATAATTAAATGAAATAAAATTATGAGATGAGTGTAAAAAAAATCTAAATAATTCCAGATTAACCCTATCATAACAGAAATGCTATATTGTCGAACCGATGACCAAAGTAGGTAGTTGTTTAATACATGCCATTATTGACAGAAGCTAGCGCTTGTCTCGTTTTACATACATTAGCCATACACTAGTCTTTGTGTCGATTCGCGAGCTTATGCGAATTCATTATGCAGTTACGTAGGAAGATGCAACACATTCATAATTATGTATGAGCAATCTGTAAGCTCACGCAGTCGACGCTTCGAGAGTTACTGCTCTCCTTAAAGGAAGATAATTTTATTATAAGCTGTATATAAAATAATTTATTTTTATGATATTTTATTTATATGATTTGTTATTGTTCAAATCGGTTAAAAAAAGTATTTCTCTAATAAAGGTTAAAATTGGCTGTCTCAATTGTTTAATGGTCTATAAACTCATCACCACATCTCATGGTGCAATCCATGTATAATAATAAAATTACTCTTGTTTTGTCTGGGTACTTTCTACGTGTAAAATATAGGTATTTAAAAAAAAAACTATATATGTATGTATCAGTTACCTAGGATCGATAGTACAATATTTATTTTGTTCGGTACAAGATGATAATGTATAATATCTTCAGTAGTATTAAAAAGTTTAAATTAATTAAGCAAATGTGTGATTATAACGTATGGCTCATTCGACGGTCGGGCATCGACTGCGATCGCATGCGGGCCGCAGCCGCCGTCGACAGGCGGAAGCGAGCGCGCGCGCACCCGCGCAAGGCTACGCTCATGACCTCGCATCGTCTTTGTCTAGTGCTATCTAACGTCTGTTTACCCGCGAGGCCGAATGCATCATACCTTTGCCTGCCGCGTGCTTCAAACCAAATGATTATTGAAACTATAAATTTATCAATACAAACGTTTCTTTTTTAAGCGAGGCCTTGTAGATAATTGTGATAACGTTTGGCCCGATTAGGTATTTGAATTATAACGTGTAACGATAATGTTATTGTATACTAGCTATATCCCGTGGCTTCACCCGTGTGAACCAAAACATAAAAAATTCAATGTGCCAAGTTAGGATATAACATATTTAAGTATGTAAGTAGTTTTTACATGACAGATTATCAAACATCCATTCCATCCATTGTTATATACTTTCGCATTTATTATATTAATAGGATTGCACTTGACGTTTTTCAGGTATGGCTCGATATAAGAGCTGATTGGATGCCAGCGTGGGAGCCGTCAGACAGTTGTAAGTAGCAAAATACTTTACGTATATTCCTTTTTGCGTTAAAGCCGCCCGAGAGGAGTTTGTCGCAAGGCTGTCAATAAAAGTTCTAAATAGAGCAAAACGAGACGTAATTGTTAAACATGGAGCCTGCAATGAAGTGCGGAGGCTTTTTATCCGCACTTCGAATGTAGACGACCTTGTCATTGCTAACAATTCGGGGTGAACCGCTTATGTCGAATATAGTGCGGGTACGGACAGCAAGAGCTCATTTATAATAAAAAAAAAATGACTATTTTTATGTACTTATGTATTAAATTGACTTTTAAAACATGATAGATAGATACTCTTTATTGTTTCCTCCAAACGATTACAAATATAAACTTATTATAAATATGAACAATTACAAGAAATAATCACAAGGAGAAAACAATGAGCGACCTTATCGCTAAAAGCGATCTCTTCCAGGCAACCTTTGGTTTTCAACCAAAAAAATTCTGTTAGTTCTAAATATAGAGATGTGATACATATAATAATATAAATATATATCCCTACTCATGATTATATATATAGCATGATACTTAAAAATTAATAAACTAAAATTTAAAAGATTCTATTTTTCTCAGTTGACCAAACCTAGACTAAACATCTCTGAAATCTGATTTACACAAAGCAAACTTATCTTTGAATTGGAGTATTTTAAAGTTTAGAGACTACAGATCTCAAATTTAATTATTTTTTTTTAACTAAGTCATTCAAGACTAGAAATCTTTGAAACCTTATTGACACAAAGCAATCATTACGCTACGGAGAGAGCAAAACATGACTTTAAAAAAAAGTATGGAAAAATTTATAGAATATATTTAAGACCAACATACAAATATAAGAAACGTTCTCGTTTTATAAATAAAATCATCGATACGATCAATAAATATTGAAGAGCGTGAAATAACTGTTAATCCTCTATTTACAATGTTATCAGCAAACAAGTGGACTCTTGTAGTAAAGTGCTTCCTCCAACTCGGCACCCCCCCCCCCTTCAAGATAAAAATACCTATACAAAATTGTAAATCTAATCTTAATATTTGGGTCAGACCTTGATACTGAAGCGTCTGTTAATTTATTATAATCACAATGATTTATTGATAGTAAAGCTGTTGATTTAAGTTACATAAGAAGCAACAAAGTAACAAATGATATATTGACATTAATATAATACAAAAGTTCATATTCATTCACCCGAGTTAAGTATTATCAGTAGTTTCAGCTTCTATAGACGACAGTTTAATATCTTGTATTGATTCAATAAAGAAAGAGATATACTTATAATCAGGTAAAGATTGATAAATAACTTAGCACTTAGAGTATTTCTTGAGAAAGACAATTGAAATTAGCAACGCTCCCGGCTTCATTTCAAAGTCTTTTTCTGCAACTGTTGTGAACAGATTGGCAGTTGGCACCTTACACTTTACACATATTTTGCAGGGCAAATATAGGCTATAGTAATCTCGCTTCTATGAACAATAATATTTTTATACTAGGTACTCCTACTAATAATAATAAAAAATACTTGTATATCAAATCTACAGACAACAGATTCGTTTTTTTTCGGGTCGCACAGATACATGCTCTTTTCATATGATAAATACCATAAATCCATAATTATCTTTGAAGCTGACTTTAAAAAAGATGTTATTCATAAGACTTTTCAAGACAAGGGTTTCATTTACTTCTACATTGTCACATACAACGTTACGCCATTATATTATATCACGAGCATAGTAAATAACCCAAGATTCTTTCATAACCACCTTCGAACAATCATTTGCTATCGAGCCGCTGCGTCCATCAAGGTGAACGACTGCCGAAAACAACCTACTGATAAATGGATCAAGCCGACGAGGAAGTATCGTGCTCGATTCGTCCTAGCCAGCCCTTGTTACGCACACGGAGGCATGTGTGCGTACACGCTCGAGCGACGCACACACGCTAAAGACGACCATGAGATAACTGACATCACAACAAGGTCCCGCCAATTGGTATGGTTAGCAACGCCACACCAATTAAACTGTAAATTGTAATACGATTTTGGTAATGAAATATATTTCATCAATGTCTTCACAAATATACGGTATCTTTACTTCTTTATACAGCAATGGTTGTTATAGGCAAACTAACATAAGGTCGTATGCTCAGGTATTTGGAAGGCTAAAAAATTTCTGTAAGTCAGCAAATTTCTTCAGATCAACTCAAAAACTAATATACAAAGATTAATAGCACTCTGGTTTTTAACCCAGAATCAAGAGTTTGGCTTACAGCCGAGAGTAACACAGTTAAGGAAGTTTTCTGACGCCACACACGCGGGTGGTATTTACAAACAATATGCACTTAGCATTTAAAGATTAATATTTTTTTTGTGCCGATTACATCATTCGATAGTTTATTTATAATCAATTACATTGAATGCAACAAAAAACTCATTACAATTCGTACACATTCAGAAGACTCTTACAATTCATATTTGGTGAAGAGACTTTGTATAAAAGTCAACCATATATACGGATTTCACTCATATGGATGATGATGATGATCTCAGCCGTTACTGTCCACTGCTGAACATAGGCCTTCCCCTATTAGGGTATTTTACTAGTAGTTGTCACGTTTATCAAGCGTTTTAAGAAGGACCCTACACCCCATTTCTCAACCATTAAGTTCCCTTAGTCGCCTTTCACGACACCTATGAAAAAGAAAGGGGTGGCCTATTCTATGCCGGGATTACACGACAATCTCGTACAGTATACTGTTAAACAATTATGTTTGTAGGGCTATCTTTCTGTATAAAATATGAAGTTACAGTATATAAAAATATAACACAAATCCTCAGGAGTATTAAATCCTCAGGTATAATAAAGATCACCGAATATGTATTCTGTCCTAGTCTTGCCTTGTCTGGTTCATTTATTTATTTGCCACTTCTACAAACAAGCTTACTAGGGAGGGGAGAGGGAAGTATCTTGTTTTTTTGGACAAGAGGAAAGTTTTGTATGGGCGTGGTCCATTTTCCTGCTATCCGTACCAGCACGTGCATCACGCATGCTGTGTAACATACAGTAATGACAGTGTTTGCTGCGACAGCCGGCGGCCTTCGGGCCGCGACGGCATCGCCACCGGTTCGAAAGAATATTTTTAACTTAGGGCCCACGCAATAGCTCCCAAATGGGTTTCGATTCGTGCATACGGCGGACATTTTTGTAGCGCAAATCGAGTTGGCGGCTAATTGGTATAGGAATGCAGGCTGGTGTGGGACGGACGAAAGTTGCGTCTACGAGTATCTCGATCTGGTTAAATCGTTACGTACGTGTACGTCGTTACAATGTCAAATAAATCATTTTAATGTGCGTGAAACCTTAAACTTGTATTATTCACTGTCTGTATTTTTTTTTTTTTTATACAACTTAGAATGGCAAACAAGCTAACGGTCCACCTGATGGAAAGTGGTAACCGTCGTCTATAGACATGAGCAGTAACATGGACATAACAGAGTATACTGTTTCGCCCATGATACCCCCCATGCGTTGCCATCCCTGAGGACTCAGGTGTTATTCCTCTGTACCCAATATGTGCGTGTCATCTAATCATTTAAATGATTAAACTGTCTAATCAATATTTGCTAATGGTAGCTTGCACTTTTGTCCGCTGAATTAGGATAAAATAGCCCGTTTGATGCAATTGGCTCAGTACCGTTCCTTATGACAATCTATGAGGGAAGCCTATGTTTAGCAATGGACAGGTAGTGGCTAAAATGACGATAATGATGACCCTGTGTGATAGATAGTGGTCTATTTGTGTATCAACTTTATTGAAATCCATACAGCCGTTTTAGAATGAGAACAAACATACACAACACTTTACAAACGTTCATGTATATAATATTTGTACAATAATATACAGTATAGTAATTTAAACAGAGGAATAACACCTGAGTCCTCAGGAATGGCAACGCATGGGGGGTATCATGGGCGAAACAGTATACTCTGTTATGTCCATGGTACTGCTCATGTCTATAGGCGACGGTTACCACTTTCCATCAGGTGGGCCGTCAGCTTGTTTTCCATTCTAAGTTGTATAAAAAAAAAAGATGAAGCAGTAATAAATTTACAATCAGCAGCCACATTATTATATGCAATTGTGGTGAATTAAGTATCTATTTTTTTTTAATGGGTGATAATGGAATGGCAAGCCCACCCGCGCTATCGGTATACACCGGCGGGGCTCCAGTGAAGGATGATAGATGAGGATGAAGCAGGTCAATTAGCCCATCGTGACGAATTCAACAAGAATTGTTCACGATGGTTTCCAGGGGGAACCACGTGGAGGTCGACCTAATAGCGCATATTGCTAGCAATGGGGCTGTCAAACTCCATTGCTAACAATCCCTTTCCCCCCTAAGTATCTATTAGCATATATGTTCATTGATCGGGATGAAAAATAACCTATAATACCGTATAATACCTGTATACCAAATTACATCATGATTGGTTAAGCCGTAAAGTCACCAAAGGGTAACAAACAAACTTAGTTATATATTTATAATATTAAGATGCAACAGTCTTACATTGAACGACTGTTAGGTTTCATCTAGCATTGCATTTATCTACTGTGTCCACATATAAAGATAAATATAAACAAACAAGCGCGACAGTGACAAAAAATCGACCGTCAAAATTCTTTAAACAAATTTTTCGGATATAAAACACAGGGGAGTTTTGATAAAATTGATTTACCTGAATAATTGTAAAATAAAATTTTTAAAAAACTTTTATACTACACAAACCTCGTATTTATAATATTAAGATGCAACATTCTTACATTGAACGACTGTTAGGTTTCATCCAGCATTGCTTTTATCTACTATATCCACATATAAAGATAAATATAAACAAACAGGCGCGACAGTGACAAAAAATCGACCGTCAAAATTCTTTAAACAAATTTTTCGGATATAAAACTTTTTATGACCACCA